ACCCACACCCGTGCCAATACTGAAGCAAATAAATAAGTAAGACTACCCATGCACATGCACATTTATAGCTCAAACTCTGCAACTGTCATTTATAGACATAACGAAGATGGTTCCTATACATATGGTTATGAGGGCGCTGATGGTTCATTCAAAATCGAAACAAAACTGGCGACCGGTGAGGTTAAGGGTAAATAYGGTTATGTYGATGARACRGGCAAAGTGCGTGTAGTGGAATATGGTGCCAATCAATATGGTTTCCAACCTTCCGGTGAAGGCATCACAGTAGCGCCACCTACTTTGGTCGATGAAACGCTCAAGGAGGAGCCAGAGTACGAGGATGAGCCCTTGCGTCCACAGAGACCTTATGTAAGTTACCTCAATAGTTCTAGTGCTATAATTTTTATAAATTATCAATTTTTTTTCAGCGCCCAGYCCGTCCACAACAGGCGCGTCCAGCACCAGCGCCACGCCCACAGCCACGTCCACAACCCCAACCTCAACCACAATACTTACAATATGAAGAAGAACAAGAACAAGAACCAGAGCCACCACGTCGCATACAGTACGCACCGCCACCACAAGCTTCCGCCCCGCCAGCGCCACCAAGAATACAAGTGCCTGGCGCTCAACGCACTACCGATGTTTTATACTCGCCATTGCAGCGCCCGGCGCGTCCCGAACCAGATTACTCACAATTGCAGGTATATCAGCAACAGACACACACAACAGAAATTATTAATTGATAAATTTATTTTCAAAACTTATATAGAACTTCCCATCCAATGTGCGTGTTTCCCGACCTGTCTATGCGCCTGCACCAGTTCAACCTGCACCCGCCAGCGCACGCGCTAATAACTTCCTAGGACCGCCATCTGGTGGTCGCCCTATTCTGGAGCCATCGCAGTTTGGTCCAGCGCCACAGGCACGTCCAGCACAGCAGTCWGCACCAGCGCCTCTACCTATCTATCCACCACAGATCAACCATCAGCCACAGGCGCAAGGACGTGCCGGTGGTGGTGGCGGCGGCAGTTTGTTGGATCAGTTGGCGCGAGACTATGCTTTGCCACAGGGAAACGCTCAACCTTTACATGACATTTCATTTGGTTACTACTGAGCGTGTAGTCACTTTGGGTTCGGCTTAGTTTTTTAACCRTATGTAAATCCATGTAGCAATGAACTACCATAAAACATTGCAAAGCTGCCAATTTCTTTGGAAAATTGTAATTTATAAATTACTTAAGTATAATTTCGATAAAAATAAAAAACGAAACGAAATACCAAGTACAGTTAAAAACCTTTAATCAAATTTATGTTAAGTGAAATATTTTTAGTTGGAAATAGCATTTAAAGAGGGTAAGATTTTTAATTTGAAATTCTGYACATTATTGATGGTTTACAATAATGCACATTTGCACTTAAATAAATAGAGTTTACAAGTTGATTGATCAAAATTAATTTCTTTATTTGCTACAATCTTCGAACAAAATTCAGATCGGAATACACTATAGCATGTATAGCTGATTTAGACTGTCCGATCAAAATCAAGAACCAGATCCTTTTCCAACGATTACGAATTTAAGTGTGCTAYGCCCACTCCACAAAAAAGGAGACCCCACAATCTGCGCTAACTACCGTGGGATAAGCCTCCTCAACATTGCATATAAGGTTCTGTCGAGCGTATTGTGTGAAAGATTAAAGCCCACCGTCAACAAACTGGACCTTAMMAGTGTGGCTTCAGACCTGGAAATCAACAAGCGACCACATATTCACCATGCGCCAAATCTTGSAAAAGACCCGTGAAAGGAGAATCGACACTCACCACCTCTTCGTCGATTTTAAAGCTTCTTTTGAGCTGATATCATCGGCCTCAAACACCCGCGCCGTTAGTTCAGCTTTTTCCAGAATGAATAAGGCAGCAACACAAATGGGTCTGGCAGTRAACGAGGGCAAGACGAAATATCTCCTGTCATCAAACAAACAGTCGTCGCACTCGCGACTTGGCACTCACGTCACTGTTGACAGTCATAGCTTTGAAGTCGTAGATAATTTCGTCAATCTAAACACCACCAACAATGTCAGCCTGGAAATCCAACGCAGGATAATTCTTGCCAACAGGTGCTACTTCGGACTGAGTAGGCAATTGAGAAGCTAAGACCTYTCTCGACGAACAAAAACCAAACTCTATAAGTCGCTCATAATTCTCGTCCTGCTATATGGTGCAGAGACTTGGACGATGAGACTTGGAATATCGAATATCGAAGAAACGACTGGCGCGCTGTGTTGTTAACTCGGCTACAATCGCGTAAGCGGTGTCTACACCAATTAAGATGTAGGAGATCGTTTTCCTCATTAAAACACCTTATTTCGACTTGTAGGTCGACTTGAATATTCTGAAGGATATTATAGCTTCGAAGCAACTGTTTTTCTTCTTTGAAGACAAATAAGCAATAGTATTTTTTGACTGATTGTGAGCTGTGTCAAGCTGTCATGCGAACATAATCGGTCCACTGAGTGTATATATTCTACTGAATAGATCACGTCCAGCTTCCAGTGAAGAAAATTTAGCAGCCGTAGCTCAAGGTGTACACGAAGACCGTGGAAAGTCGATTCGGCGCCATTCACACCAATTCGGACTGACGTATGGAACGACTTGGAGCTTTTTACGTCGAGATCTTAAATTGAAAGCGTACAAAATACAGTTTGGGCTCTTCAAAAGTTCAAAAAAGGTCCAACGATTTCGTAAACAAGCAAAATTGCCGCATTTGGGACAAAGGCAACCTGAAGAGATTCAAAAGCTACCATTTCATAAAAAAAGCAGCGGTTTGGTGTGGTTTGTAAACCTGTAGAATCAGCGGTCCATATTTCTCTAAAAATAATGCCAGTGAGAAGTAAATAATGATGGCGACCATCATCGCGCCAAGATGCCTGAATGTAGCTAAGATAATTTCACATTTTGGGTCGTTAGGCTTTTTCCTGTGGGGATATGTAAAGTCTAAAGTCTATGCGGACAATCCCGCTTCGATTCAGGCCTTGGAGCATCTCGCATGTCATTTGCTAGTTATCAGTCGAAATTCCCGAATATTAATGACAATAAACATTCCCTATTAAGTTTGAAGTTTCTGTAATTTTTCTTTAAAATAGTAGGGAACCTCGAAATGGATCGCCCTTAATTATTTACATTATATTGCAGCATAGCTGAGCAAAGGGAGCGGCGAATTTTTTCCAATACTTTACTTTTAAATTCGTGTTGTCTTTCGAATGGAATGTCCCAATTGAATAGTTCAAAATGTTATATAAAGACATTGAATAAGTTTTTAATTAATTTTGATAAGGATAACTTATATTGCCTTTATAAATTATTTCTGGATCAATATGGAATCTGACAACTCACGACTTCTTCTTAAATTTTGACACATTAGATGTTACACATACTAAGAACTCTCCGACACACGAGTACTATTTGTGCTGTTTACAGTAACTTAAAATATTCATCTCAACGAAAAAACACGAAAATGAATATTTCAGCGCGATAATTTTTAACAACTTTCGACGTGAATTAACTCAGCAGCATCTGCACTTTATTATATTTTTGGCGATGAAACTACATTCAGGACTAATGTTTATAAACGACATGGTAAATTCAATAGAGGTTGCAAATCGCTCCAAGATTCCAGCATACATTAAATATTGCATTAATATTTTATTCAAAACGAAGATTGTTTCACGTTGGATTCCACACAATTTTTTATTCGCAAGAAAACGGCTCGTGTTGATTGGTCGAGAGAAAATTAAAAAAAACCTGTATGGGTGTTTGAAGATGAGCCGAATCCAACAAAAGTTGTTCGCTCCCGAAGTAAATGGTTGCCTGGTTTCTCGAACAACTGGGCATATCATGACCATTCCACTAGAACAGCGCAGAACAGTAAATTCTGAGTGATATATTCAAGAAATCAGAAAACAACCCACCGAAGAGGAATGCATGCTCTCACATATCGTCTGAAACTTCTTCTTGTTCGTATACGGAAAATTTTTACTAAGAGGTAAAAGCTTTTCGACACCTGAAGAAGTGGTTGATTTGTTCAGAATGCCTGTTTTGGGGATACCAGAATCAGAGTGGCTTCGCTTCGACAATTAGTTCAAACGCATACAAAGTGTATAGATCTTTGCGGGGAACATTCTGAAAAAACATCAACGCGATTTTCGATGTTTTCTATGAAGATACGTCTCATAATTGTATTTTAAGTCATTCTTATTGCATACGGAACATCCAATAACACTCATTACGTATTTTGTACAAGTTCTTTATTATGGACGCCACTGTATGAACCAGCAAACATTTGTTGCATACTTTTAGGCGAAATAAAATAAATAACAAAACCAGTCAGTTATTATTTTACATACAAACTTTTTCATTTATTTATTGTAATTAAGCACAAAACAGTATGAATTAATGTATTCATTCCTTCATATATGTAGAGYAGCGCATTATTAAAATAATAAATACTTATACCAATATGCATATTTGTAAATAACGGAAAAAACCAGCATTACAAATACTAAGTGAGAAGATAAAAAAAAAAGATGCAGCGATGATCTTCACACGAAGAGAGAGGGGAGGTTAAAGTAGATGTGACATCGGGTTGCTGCAACAGGGGGATTTTTGAACAAAGAAGGAAGTCCAAGTCAGGGTATGCACGGGATTCTTGCGATATCCATGAAGCCAGCAACTTTTCGCAAATATATTTTGTTGTATTAACAGTAACTTAGGAAGCAAGGTGGTGGACTATTACTGATAGTAGATCTCTGCAAAGAAGATGGCAAGTTAAATTGTTTCGGAAGTAATTGTTTGGATTATCATTGGTGTAAGTTGAAGTGTATGGCGTGATGGATAAGGAARTGGGAGCATTAACAACAACCAGTGCGGGAAAGATAGAATTTTATGTGCGGAATTACTATAAAGTATTTGGAACCATATAASAGGAGATTCGAAACGGTGGGTGTAATTTTAGAATTTTCTTTAACATTTTTGTAAATATATTTAGTTTTGTATTTTAGCATTAAAATTAATAAGTTGGAAACTTTATTTTGAGTAACAAATGACTTCTTATTCCATTAGGCTTAGAGCTAGTGACTGACTAAATATTTTTCGACGTTTTTCTCTCTTTTAATAAAATGTATTCACTCACAGTACTATGCTTCTAATTTAAGTGAAAATAAATATTTTGTCTTACTAAATAAATATACATAAAATGGAAATCGAAATGTTTTTGCGAACCACSCTGGCGCGCTGGACTCAGAAGGATAACATGCGATTGAACATGAGYGGATCATGTATTTCGTAGTCGTGTTGCTTGAAGTATGGCCCCGTCTTGGTGTGCACCTTCAGCGCCGTAACCGAAGAGCTCGGCACTTGACGACGCACCTTGTAAGGTGCCGCAGGCGCAGCCGGCGCATGATAAACCGGGTGCGAGAGCTGGTGCTGAGGGTTGTACGATGAGGTGTGGTGCGCGACGTAGCTGCTTGACGGCGCAGGYGCTGCGGCTTGCGGTGATGATGGTGGYGGCGGTGGTGGCGCTGCTGCGCCGATGGAGGAGACTGACGGTGCTGATGGSGGAGGCGGCACATAGGTTGGCTGATATTCAGTGTCGGCCTTACTTTGCGCCGGATCGAAGTATATGTGTTTCGTCTTCTGCACCGAAGCTGGTAGATGCTTGAATTGATTGTTGGACTTGGGTGCAGACTGTGGCGCAACTTTATATATGCTCTTCTCCACCGTGAAGTGTTTGGACACATCGTTTTGTGTRGAACCTCGTCGCTTTGCCACTTCTAGTGCGGCTATAATGGGCGTTAGATCTTTCAGCGCGCTGTTTGTTGCATGATAGTTGTTGTAYTTGTAACCGCCATCTTGTTGAGCATTGCCGCCAGTGGGYGGTGGGCTTGTCGGCCGGTAATCGTAGCCCTCATTGGGATGTTTCTGTATGTAGATCTCTTCCGCTGTTTGTTTCTTCGCCATTTGGCGATAAATATCGGAGGGATTCTGTGGTCGTTTCGCATACGCAGCGGTTATCGACTCAGTGTGTGACAGCGACTCCAGCGGTCCCAAATCATTGGGCAGACCGTAGGTGTGCAGATCAACATTCTCATTATTGAAGTCCCCACCAGGTCCAGTGTGTGCTGAACCRTGATTGTGTGTGTCCAACACGACGGTCTTTGAGGCGGTGAATTCCGTTTTGCCRCTCGGTAGGAGGCTCAGGATTTCCTGCAGTTGTGCGGCGGCTTTGCGCGTGTCMGCTTCGCTAAGTTTCTGGTGGCGTCCGTAAATGTTGAAATCATCGTTGTGTCCTGTAGTTAGGTGTGTGCGTGTGTGTGTTACGTAGATGAGCGTTTGTATGTGGAGCGTGTAAAACAATGCGTTGTAGTTGTGATGTTCGTTTGTTGTTTGTGTAATGATATGGAAAACGAGAATTATTAAATTTGAATTGTAGTCAATGTTAGCGAGCATGCATCTGTAGTGCAAGCATGTGGTTTGTATGTATGCAAGTGTGTGTGGATATGTATATGTACAGTGAGGCTTTTACTCACAGACAGATTTGTAGAGTTGGAGAAATGTATTATTTTTAAAGTTTGTACACGTTGGTGAATTTTAGTATTATATGCTGATGAAGGTGTTAATGTGAGCGTTTTTTTTAGACGAGGTTGTTGTACAATTTTTTTAGACGAGGTTGTTGTACAAATAGAGTTGCAGATTATACATGTTATGGACTCTTTGTACAAGTTGATGGCGGAGTTATGGTGTATTAAAGACATTTTTGGTATAAGTAAACATAATATACCTTATGTATATAAATTTTTTCACTGCACATATTAAATAAGTTGGTTTAGTGGACTTATAGTTATTAATGTTTAATATAATTTTTTACAAGGATATTTATTTTTTGATATTAATTACATAGAGTTTCAAGCTTATTAAATATTTTTTTTATCATTACGTTTAAGCAAGATATGATGTTATGGTATAACAATTAAAAATAATTTTTTTTAAATATCAAATCCAAAATAAATGACTTCCGTTGCTACATTAACTGATGTTTACTTGTTAATCTTTATATTTTTTCATCTTCATTGAGCGAGCTTAGATAATTGAAGAACCATTAAAAGTTTAAAAAGTCCTTACAAGTCCATAAAAAAAATTTTATGTAGGACCTACTACAGATAYCTACTTAARGTTTCTTTCAAATCTAACTATAGGSGGYTTCAATAGGGTGCTACAAAAGTAGACCTTTAAGGACAGCACATTACGCCATATTTTTCCCCGCTCTTTTGACATWTCCTTTCAATAAGATTTGCATTTCGAAGTCAATGGYCTCAACTKTAGGAGCGTGATGATCAAYACCGGCACATTGCTGTGYATGGGAATCACTACCRCTTAATGATAACCGAATACTTTGGACCGAAGTGGATGATATGGATTTGGACAATATGTGGTTCCGACACAAGCCAGACAACGAATGTCACAAGCGATTCAATGAAAACCACGTTTTGTGGACGTTTCGGCCGATTTATGCTTCAAACCTGTCGAAAATTATGTAGTCCCCGTTGGGGATAAATTTTCATTGAGATCATCCGAGTTAAGACGCAAAAGAAGTGCTGTTTCGACGGGGTCGGATCATAGGGAGAGCGGTGTCAAATGTATGGGGTAATCTGGGCATGCAAAATGGTGGTTAGAGTCATGCGAATGCTCTTTGCATGCTGGACATATCTAGATATTTAAACTGCTACAGTATTCAGAATGAAGCAGCGCAAAAAAATCGCGGGATTTCCAGTTCTTTGTATGCAATGGCTGGTGCCTCTGTAGTATTCTGGGTCTTTTCTGAAGCTTCTTTGTCTGCATTTCACTGCATTTATATTGGTTGCGTCTAGTGTCTTGAGTATTTTGTTGCGGCTTAGTACTTTGGCAATAACCGCGATCATAAACGGAGTGAAAGAGCATAGGCCGTTGAGTATCACATCTAAAATCTTAGAGTTACTGACAGTGAGAATTTGAATGCCATGACTGTAATAGTAAAGTGAAGTCCAGTTTGTGAATATTGTCGCTGTGATGCGAGAAAGGTCGGGGGAATAACCAGTTACTTTTGAGCACATATCATCGATTCCTTTGCCCGACGTCATTATCGTGCTATGATCAGTGTATGAGGTGATAGAAACTCCCTCTGGTAGTTGAGGGAGAAATTGATAGAATGAATAAGATTTCCGAGAATTATTTCTTTTTTAAAGCCATTTGGAATTGTTTGTCACACCAAGTGGAGATTGACCTGGAGGTCAAAGAAATCTAAAATTTTTCAAAATGAATCTCGGATTATTGAAGTATATTAAATTCTGTAAATGTGATCTTTATTCATAGTGAGTTTTCTTCCACATTTCTTTTGAATTTTTAAATAAATAAAGTGGACTCCAAGAAGATGACATTATTGTGATATATTTACATCTTTTTTAAGGCACTTATTATATTGGAATATAATATACATATGTCGATTATGGTCTCACATATAATTAATTCATCAAAATAGAGACGCAAATTAAAACATAGTCATTCACTTGTGTTAAGTTAAAGTGCTTATTTAGGAGGTAGGGTATTGCTTATGGTAGTCAATGGAAAATCGCGCCCAAAAAGATGCCTAGAAATGCAAGAAAAAATTGCTGGTTTGACATCAAACAGATACCACTTAGAGAAGGCGAAAATTAACCACTCAAATCTTCAAAACTCATTTCGTTGACTTTTTAGCTAAAAGTATAGCCCAGCAATCGTTGGACACTAAGGAAATTCGAGCGGCTTTATCAAATAAGCATAACCACAAAATACATACATATATTATACAATATCATAAAAAGTTTATATTAACTTATTTTAAGATAACAGGTGGAAATGAACTATATTTACATTAAAATGCATGTAATGCTATATATTATATAACTACACATAAATACAAAGTATATGGGTACATAATTTTTATACAAAATATAAATATTTTACATAGTTAGTGGTATGTATTTAAATACTATAAGTTCAGTTATTCTCACATGCAAATATTCAATAAATAAACTATAAAACTATCATATATATTTACTTGTACACTTATGCTCAACTATCACCATAATAATACTTTGTACGTATGTATATACTCGCATGTAAATAAAACATTCAGTCTACGATATAGAATTTACATAGATGAAGATCTAAACCAAATGGAAATGTCTAGCAAAGCGGACAAAAGTATATACATGTATATATTCGCTATAAATGTACTTTATCACTAAGAAGATTAAGCAAGCTATACGATTATATATAGATACTATTAAACCTTTTGTTTTTGGAAGGTTATATGACTATTATACAATATTTACATAAGAATGCTCAACAAAAACCGTCATCGATTCGCAATTTCCTTGCTCTCTAATTTCGAGTACTGCTCTCTTGTCAAACAATTTTCATTGAAAAGCAACAAGAAAGTCATGGACCTGAATTCGACAATGTGATGTGTTCGATTCGCTAATATCTAGTGCATGGCATATTGAATGCAGCAAATCTCATTGAGGGAATCCTACGTATAATTTTTATTAGAGCAGATTTAAGTTAAATTTAGTTCCGCTTGGGAATGAGCTCAGAAGGCKCAAAAAATTATGTTTAAATTATTACAAACTGTCATTTTTTAAGTGAAAAAAACTTSAAAAAWAAAAATTGCYGAAACCGAATGTATTTTAATGCAAAATAATTTAAAAAAATTAATTTTGAAAAGTTTTTTTGTACGTCTATCTTCATTGCTAAATTCTACGTTCGAATCACTACAGTAAGTAATTGTGTGTAGGTATATTTTTTGTCAAATAATAAATTAGGCAGCCGAACGGGGGGATTGAAGCTACCTTGACACCGAATTAGTGCTTCATTTTCCCTTTTCTTTTGTATGGAGTATAATGAAGATTACAAAAATCAGTAAGATTTGGTAAACGGTGATTAATTAAGTAAACTACTGTGGGCAAAAWATATTAAGACTTTTTAATTTAAATTTCGCACGAAAACCCATAAGCGTAAAATTTTTTTTTTATTGGTATGACTGTCTATGGAATCTGTGGCAAACACACATCAACACCMAGCCTGCATATGTTTATGATTGGTACAAATTATTCAATTATAGAGTACACGAGTGGTTTCAACCTTTTCAAAGTGGTCGTGAGGACATAAATGACGATCAACATGTGGCCCAATCAAAATCCGGAAATTCCATCGAAACTGTACGTGAATTCATCAAAAATCATCTTTGAAATTCATGAAAATGGAATTAACAAATCAAATGCATCGATTTATTGCATTTAAGCTTACGAAAGGTGTATGCACGGTTTGTTCCGCACAAGTTGACTGACGACCAAAAATTGTTCAGAATCGCCGTCCAACTCGATCGACGCTTGTGACCGATTATGCTGAGATGCGGCAATTTTACCTTTGCGAAAGCTCAGCCTTCAGTAGGCTGAAACGGGATATTTTCCACATTTGCCAATGCTCCAACTTAGTAGACATTGCGCAGTTTTGATAGGAAATATTATGTTTTTACCAAATCCACTGAGTTGCTGGACAATCCTTAAGTGAGTACTATTCGCGGGAAGAACAATATGCCTAATGAAAGCCGAAGTTTTAACCATGTTTGGTTGGTGTACCGGTGTAATGTTATGAAATGAGCGTGTTTTTTTTCAAATTAAATTTTCAATGGAAGAGTAAAAAGCCGGAAGATAATGATTTTGAGATAATACTTTTGGATAATGATCTTTAGCATGTTACTTTTGATGGAGCATGAGCAACATATGCCTTGACAAGCATTCGATGCGTCTCTGCATCACTTTTCTTCAAACGGACATAGAATTAATTCATTTTCGATACAAAAGTTGACATTTTCAACACAATGAAAAAATATACTTTTGCTCGTTTAATAAATGTAAGTTTACTGAATATCTCTACCAAACAGAGGAAACATTAAGGTTCGTTCACAACAAATGTTCCCTGCCAACTCATTTATATATAATAATAACCTTCACTTCATGCCGGTACACCGTATATCATAATATCTACGTGAAAGAAATCTTTGTTTTTTGTTTAATAATGAAATCATATAAAGAAACTCCAGTTAAAAAAAAAAAATAACTACAATTATATAATTCGAATTTTCTTAAATYTAAGCAATAATTATTCGAAATTCACAAAGGTATTTCTATGTTAAACTCCTTCTGTGTTATGTCATTTAAATTTCAACAATATATCGGCCTGCTTTCACTTTCTGCGAACAATTTCGCGCATATTTTTATAATTACATAACAATGCGAAACGTTTGTGTGCATTTTATTTTGAAATCAATAATTATAAATTGCATGTTTGTTTGTTTTTAAGGAGCATAAAGTGGGTGTAAGAGTAAATACCAATAACGAAATTCAATTAGCGCTGAACAAATACCTGCACCTGTCCATTTCATTTGTAATAACTGTTTGTGAAGCAAACAAACAGATATATATATAATATATGTATAAATTTGTATATGAGGATGTGCATGTACATATATGTACAACTATGATAGTAAAATGTCAACATTTGTTGCTTATAAAATTATATCTCCGCAACGATTGGTTATTGACGTCGGGAAGGCAGCCGAAAATCGCTTTCTTCCACGTGGAAGTGCCAGCTTGAATGCCCACAAGCCAGTTGTAATATCAACTTGAAGCGCGTCATGCAATTTGCATACACGTTTATACTTCTACATATATGCACATGGTTGACAAGTCTCAATCACAAATATAATAACTACGAGGAAGCCAAACTTATTTTATTGCTTGCACCGGTGCGTATGATTAACATTTGCATGCGCGCATAAAACTGAAACTTATTGGAGTGTGTTAGTTGCAATTATATATATACATATGTAAGTTACGGGAAACACAAGTATATACAAATAAGATTGAAATAATAACGAGTGAATACTAACATATGTGATTATGAAAATTTCCGCTTTAGTGGAAAACCCGTAGCCCTCGCAGCTAACCAACACCAACACCAATACGCGAGTACACTAAGCTTTGACGACAAGATTTGCAACCCGTTATCACAATACATCCAATAAAAGCCATGCAAAAGCCGGCAAATCTTGTTCGCTTGTCTTTACTTTGTTGTAAATGCATTAATTTTCTATTGCTTTAACTACTACGCACCATCGTTGGAGTAGCCGGTTGGCAGGTAATTGCTGGCCGGCGCTTCGAATGCCGCATGTCCGCTGCTGAACGGCGCTCCGCCGCCGCTGTAACCGCCCGCCGCTGGTGGCAAGTATTGATGCGTTGCTGAGCTGTAGGTTGGCGGCTTCGAGGGTGGACCGTAGTTGCTATGGCCGGGTGGAATTTCGTATGTAGTAATCGCTGCAA